TTAAAGATTTTTTCTTATGTATTTATTTAATTGAGTGACAATTTTGATAATAGAGACCTTAAGCAAACTACGGCGGCGACGGCAACGAGGACGTGAAAATACAAAGGATCTAACCGGCAGAACAATAGCTTAGCACGTGCGTTTTAAAACTTTGTACATTTCTTAACCGTCTTTTGCAAAACAACAACGAGAAATCGCCAAACTTTGCGTTGTCTGCGAACGGAAACTGCAATGGCATATTATTTTAATTTCCATTCGGAACTCAACGTTACTTTCATACGTTATGCTGAAGTTGAGGTGTGGCGCAGTATGAGACAGCAAACACATGCAGCCATTTTCGAAGTTCTAATCAAAAGAAGAAATTCATTCTTCAAAAGCTCTTGGCGTTGCCGTCCTGACTGCTAAATGTTCCTATTAATACATAGTAGTATTGGTGACTGTTTTCATTTTTTTTCTTTTTTTTTTTACATAGGCCATGGTTATTCCATTGGTTTCTAGAAAAAAGGATTTAACCCTGATTTTTATTTATACCATTATTTTTTGTCTACTCTTGTGTTGCGTATATTTTAACATAGTGACTCTATACGAAAAGTTTTAAACATTATACACGATTTAAGGAGGCTTACTCTTCGTAATCAGGGCATCATCGTTGGGATAAGAATTATATCTAAGGGTGCTTTAATGAATGCCTTGTACAGAGCAAGAGGAAACGATTCAAAGTGAGAAAAGTATTAAGTACTTGAGAATGAGAAAACAAAAGGTGAAGTCGTTTACTCATTTTAAACTCATTACTGTTGGGGAAGTTTATGTTACAAGGATGTGTGATGCGTAAAGGGGGCGAAGAAGGAGAACCTTCTTCTGGCAATTTTCAGAAAGCAAAGATTACAAAAGAAAGCATTCTAGAAGGACCAAACACAGCATTACATTATATTAGTTTTTCCCCTTTTTACATGAAATACTCGAATGTTAACTAGTTACACGTATTTCATTAGTCTGATGTATTTAAATGGACTACAGTAGGTATGCGTCACTATCCATTCCATTACCTCAGGAGCTTTTGTTCTCCCATCTCCCCACATTGCCCTCCTCTCTGGACTACAATGAACGAAGCGAAAGACAAACAAGATAAGTTCAGACTCGGTGTCTAATTTCTTTTTAAGAGCTCTTTTGCTACAACTACTTATTTACAAGTTTTTTCGGGTTAGTTTCTGGTCCATTTCTTTGAGATTAGATTGGTTTCCTTGTTACTGAACCAAGATGTACCCCATGGCTTTGATGTGTTTGTCTTCATTATATGGATCGTGCTTTGCTTCGTTCCCACACGTGTATTTACCATACCCACCTGTGCCAAAGCCAATTCTGGAATTACAACTGTTGCAATCGTTTTCCGTGTTGTTAGCAATGATACCGACTCTTGCTTTGGAATGAGATCTGCTTCCCACAACATTAAACCCTTCCTTGTTACAATTTTTTTGTAAGGATGCCTCAGAGGCAATCAGCGACTTCCACGTGTCAAGACTCCGTGACGTTTTACGATATTGCGCGTCAGCGATCAGTAGGAACAAAGACCTGGCTTGCTCTTTGATGAGAATGAACCTGAGGAGATTATCGAGTTTCATCCCTAGACAGATCTTGGTGAAGGATGTGTTCCAGAAGGTCGGTAGTTTGGTCTCTGGTAAGTAAAAAACCAGTCTCGCCTCCTTGAGGATTGAAGTCATCCATGTTACTCCAGAGAATCATAGTGGAAGCTTGACTATATACATGGGTTAAGAGTTGAAATGAGTTGAACGATGATTGAATTCAGATGCAGATAAGAACTAAAACGAATAGAATGAGACAATGAGAGAACGAGAGAGACAAGAGACTTTTGTGCCGTCCATTTTCATTACCATTGTCCATCCACCGCCCCCGCAGCCCTCAAGGTCAGGAGTCATGTGACAGTAAACCATGACCTTTCTATGATCCACCCTAAGTGAATAAGCTCTGTTTTCCTGTGACATGAAGTAAAGCCGTATTTTTCTACGTGTTAATTAATTGTTCATATCTTTGTTGATTTACTTTTGACCACCTAGAGTAATAACTATGCTCCAATTAACTAGTTGGTAAGGCCAAGAATATTCGACTTGAGATTATGACGTACGAACCCAGCGTTGCTCTTTCTTTTTCTTCATTTCTCCGATTAGGTCTGTGCCCAGGGGCGTGAGGCTTTTTCCTGTCAGAGTTATCCGGGGATTTTATTTCAAATGTTTTCACGCATTAAGTTTACTTAATACACAACACAGCTCTTCAAAGTCTCGTTAGTACACCTAATGCTGCAGAATTGATAAACATGTTGCAAAATAAGAATATACGCTCTTAGTGGCAACCTTCATGATGTTTTGCAAGACAAAAATGACCCTTTTTTGTAAAAAAAGAAAAATGTATTCTTAAACAACCATCCTCCTATGACGACCTCTGCTTTAAAATGACCAGTTTTTTCTGTGCCCAATAGACCTTATTTCTACTGTGTTGTTGTATTTCTACGTTTACACCCAGAGACTAACCAACCTTTAATAAAAAGTTATCAATATTGATGTACCTTTGACTATTCTAAATTTCTGCACACAAATGAAACGGACCTGTACTGAGATAAAGTACAAAATTACAAAGTTATTAAGTATATTGTTGAGGTATATCTGTATAATACACAGCTTAATTTGATGATTTTCACGCTTTTAAGAAATTGATCAAAATATGTAACATAAATCTTATTACATAAAAAAAAGAAAAATTGAGGCGCAACGAAAGAAAGCAGAAAAGGACAACATCCTGGCGTGCAGTGAACGAAAAAAACAGACAAAATATCGGAGTGGTATTCACATAGTAAAACCATCGCTCTTGGTTGTGGAGACAGTTTTGATTAATGGTCTCCATGCTGGATCAATTGGATCAGCGCTCGAGCTATCTCATCAGATTACTCATACTATGAAAATTTTACCTTCGCACGTCAATTCATGGTATTAAGGTTTACATGTGCATTTGTAAGATCCCTTAGTATTTTTACACACAGCATCAACACTGCAGCTGTGTGATTCCTCGACACGCTCATTAATATCTGAAAATAATATTCCTTGTTTCATTTGTCAATCATATGTGTAATAGTTTCCAATTTTAAGTTTGTTTAATTTTCTTTCTTTTTTTCTTTTTTACATCTTTTCCTCAGCCCCTTTCATCCCTAGGATATAAAAGTCATAAAATATAACCAAGCCCTAACACTAACCCTAACCCGCATCCTTAGGATATAAAAGTCTACTGAAAAAGTCTACCCTGAACTTGTTTACTCTTACTTTACTTACCTTCGCAGGTCACTCCATTTCCATGGTATCCAAGTTTACATGTAAAATTTGAAGACGGTTTGAAAATTTTCATTTCCCAAGATGTTTGAATCTTACAGAGACACGTTCTTAAAAGGGAAAATTTGACATGTGACTTGTTGATGAAAGGAGATATCATCTTTATGAGCTACATGTGGGGAAACTCTCTCCTAATACAGTCATCATACTCCCAAAGTGCTTTATTTTAATTTTCCATGGCCTTTACCACCCCCATAGTTGAACCTTCTATATTACGTCGCCCTAAAGAGATCCTCAACGTCAGACGAGAGATTAAAGAATCGTAAAAGAAAGTCATTCGAGCACTAAGTGGAAAGACCTAGAAAATGATCGAAATGTCTTTGAGATCATATAAAACGTCAATGTGACAAAAACTTATTTAGCTACGGGTTAGTTCACAATATTCCCTATATCCATTCTTTTAAAACTATTGTGTATATTTTGCTTCTTCCCTCTTCTTTCCTTGGTTTAATAACGTTTGGCAGGGATCCGTTTCCGCTTTTTTCTTTTTTTAATGCATAGAGACTTTCTATAATTACCACTTCTAATACCACCATCTTGGACGACAGAAAATTCTTGACAAACACGTTTACCATGCAGAAACAACTACTACATAGAGGACACTTCTTCTTTTTTAATCTTCCCTGCAAAGGGTAACGTGAACAAGGCGGATGCCCCAAACATTGGCTGGGTGAACTAAGTGCGGACCTGCAAAGTTATAAGGTGCAAAGTCATAATGGATCTCTAGCCCGGCTATATCTTTAACCGACAAAGACCTCACTGCCCGCAATCAAAACTCCGTCAAGAATACGATCAAGCAACTCATAACTAAACAAAAATTGCCGGCCACAGCAAAAAATCTCATCATAACCACTCCTACAACTTCTCGTATTTACTTTTTACCTAAATTTCACAAAACTAACAACCCGGGTCGGCCCATTGTCTCGGCTTGCAGTTGCCCTACCGAACTTATCTCCAGCTATCTAGACAAAATTATGGCTCCCATCGTCAAAACTTTACCATCATATATTAAAGACAGCCAACACGCTCTTCACATTTTTCGACACTTTAATTTTCTTTGCCAAAAGAAACTTCTTTTCACCATGGATATTACGTCTCTTTACACTGTCATTCCTAATGGCGAAGGCCTTCTGGCCCTTAAACATTTTTTTGATCAACGTACTGAT